CTAACGGGATGAAAGAGTACAGTGCAGGATTTTGATATGCCTGGATTGAGAATTTGTTACATGTGTTGTACGTGAGTAAACTTTCGGTCTGATGAGTATAAGTTTAGCTATTTTGGGTTTGTTTTGCGCTTTACTAGAGGATTACTTTGCTATAAGATCAGTTTGGTTCAGTTCTCCATGTCAACATATTCACCTTATTCATTTTTTTTCTAACGTGGCACCCGCATATTTCTTGAAAGACGAATCTTGGATGAAGTTTTGAAAATTATGCAGAAAGCCCGATTGGTCTCTGACTGGATGTATCATCGGCGCTGTCGGTACACCCAGGAGGGAATCTGGCTAAAAGAGATGATTCCAAACCAACCAAGAAAAGTGTACAATTCATACACAACCACACGTTCCTGGTTGTGACAGTGGTCACCGGCTCGATTGAGAATCGAGGTTTATTGTGCCTCTTGGACGTTTGAAATATCTCGCTTGCAGAATTTCCCGGGAAAATAGTAANAATAGTAAGATAATATGAAACATGTAGTTTAAATAAACACTAAAATAGCTTCATATCCCCTAGAATTACAAAACTGTACTGTGGCCCCCTTTGGGACCATTCGGTTGTTTCCAAATATCAAATTTGTAAAAAGAATACATTAATTAAGAAAACAATAGAATCAGGTTTGTTTTAGCCACATTGTGAATACCAAAACACAAGATTTCAGTGACAACGTTTCGACCTTCTTGGAAGGCCTTTGTCGAGTCAGTTTAATCGGTTTCTCAAAAACACAAGCCTTAAGGTGAAAATCGCGCCGTTCAAGGTTAACCGAAAAACAGGGTCAAGTGCGTAAGTTCCAAGAATGTCGAAACGTTGTCACCGAAATCTTGTGTTTTGGTATTCACGTTGTGGCTAAAACAAACCTGATTCTATTGTTACCGTGACCACAACGCCCAAATTTTTCGAAATGATCCGGAACACCTATGGATTATTAACTGTTAATTAAGAAAACATTGTAACGAACAAATTTTTTTTTTCGATAACTTCTTCCTCGGACTTAAACGGTTATTTGAATAGGGTTTTAAACTGTTAAACTACTGTAATGGTCTGATGTGATGGATATAATTAGTTGATTGCGACCTTGTAATATGTTTGGAAACGAAAGTGCACAGTTCTTTTATCGTTGTGTGGTGTGGAACTATTCACAGTTGACCGCAGATCTCAGGCAGGATATGAAGCTGCTAACTGAATCCTTCGATTGTTTTAACCCGAGGAAGAGGTTATCGAAAACAAGTTTTGCTCCCTACAGAGTTCCTTGAAGAATGAATAAAGTGAAAGTCTGAGTCAATATTGGCTTGTGATGTAGAGCTATCGACTGAAAAAAACCCATTGTAACCTTAAGTGTTCGTGTAAATGGAACTTCATGTCTACGAAATAATTGTTCGAAATGAAAATAAATACGGCTCCGTGCTAAATTCAAAGCCAACACACACAAACGATAGTCAAATCGCTCTTTTGGACGGGGATAGTTACGGGGCATAGCACATAATTTGAAGGTCAAGTTATCTTACGAAACAATCAGAGTGAAGCCAGAAAGCAAGATCGGAGGGAATTTGAAAAGCTGGAAACTATCGTTGGACTTAAAATTTATGCTTGTCGAATCTAAGTGCGATATATGGAAGTCAGAAGGGTGGTGAGGTTGACAACGCCTGACAATGAATAAGTACCATAAGAACAAGTGAGCAATTGCTTTCTTGTCAGAATCTTCCACAATCATTAACAATCACAATGAAAGACCTTTGTGAGAAAATCCCTTTTATCATTATTAGGATGGTCATTTTCGGATCACAATCCACTTATAAACTTTGTTTTGGCCGGAATTAAACGCGCCCAGACAATGAAGGTGATAGCCAAACTAAATGCGTGTCGTAACCAAGAGGATTCGTGCAAAACACTTTAACTATCTGTAACACTCATGCCGAGCGGATCGTGGTAAACCAATAGCGCCCTAAGACGTACTTCACCATTTCTCCAAAATCCATCACTGTATTTTCATAGAGTGCGGCACGAAATCCGGGGAAGGACAAGAATTTGTCTGGATCAAGCATTTCGGCTGCCAGGCGCTCGGTGGTCTCATCCAGCTGAGTTGTGATCAAAGAGCCAGCAATTTCATTCCAGAGTGGTTTGTCTGACCGAATGGAGGAGAAAAAATGAGCATAGATGAATGGATTGAAAATCAACTACTTACCTCCATCTGTTTCGTCCGCAGAATTGGTCGTTTCATTGGTCAGGGAAAATGGTAAACAATTAGCCAAAGGCGGACGTTCGCCGGAATCCAGGCTGAGCCACTGAGTTCGATGCAACCCAAGCCATTTAACACACATGAACAATCGGGTCCAAATACTCTCGATCCAATGACACATTTCACCGAGATCCGGATTGGAGTCTTTGAGCTGATGGTGAGATGTACGTTTTTATGTGTGTGTGTGTGGAGGAGAGGGGGAAAAGCGGGAAATCTCATTTGGTAGATAAAGTGAGTTATCAAATCATTTGGCGAAATTTTTTTCCGAAACACAAGAGACAAGACGGTACAGAATTTAAGGATGGATAGTGACTGCAAAAGGGATAAGTGACTTCAAAACAACACAGTCGATAGCAACGCCAAGGTTTCGGGCAGTGCATGAGTTTTACCACCATCGAATTTTATTTGTTTGCGTAAAGATCGTCCAAGCGTCTCGCATAGCCTCTGTTGAGAAAGCCGTACTCACTGCCTTCTCGCGGCAGAGGTGTTTCTCACTAAAGTGAGAGGACGAAAAACCGAGATCCGGGGCGATAACCGGGTTGGTGGACAAGTGACAGTTCACCTATGAGAGTTGACCAAAATTCCTGGTTCCAAACCAACAGTACGAATCACATACACATTTTTCTGGTTGTGGTAGTGGTCACCGGCTCGAATGATCATCGAGGTGTATTACATCTTTCAAGCCATTGAATTGCCGTTAGTAGGCCGAGAAATTTGAAAAAACCCTTTCCGAAATTATTCAACAGATGTGAAACTGCAATCTCGAGAAGAAGATCGTAGATTTGACAAGCTACCATCAACGTTTGAGCTTAGTGAGAGGAAAATCACCTCTCCAACAACCACGGTCTCCAACAGTAGCCACATCACATTGTGAGTTACATATTTTATTCAAGGTCTACAACTTCTTGTTTTTTCTCGGGTGCCGGAATAATAGCTGTGTTATGGATCTATAAAACGTTGGAATCTGAAAACCGTCATATGGACTACGGACTTTATAAATCATGTATTGAGATGAGTAAGAGCATATCGTGTCGTTTGACGGTCGGTTTGTGTTCGTTCACGTTTGATGCTGGATTTCTCCCGGTTTGGCTGATCCAGTTTTCGTTGCAGTCCCTGCAGGTGATGTGGTATATCAGGTGTTCGACTCTTGTCTTCTTGTTGCTTCGTGATTTTCGATTTGTTCCTTCGTAGAGTCGTCGTTGCTCTGTGGATGACTTGAATGTTATGTGAGTTCAACTCGTGAGGATCAAGAAGGACATAATTTCGATTTCGAAAACATCAAAGTCGTCGATTAGGTTCGCACGAAGCAAGTAATAGTATTTCTGGATTTCTTGGTATTTTTCATCGGAAAACTTGATCAAGAAACAGATTGACATCGTGATTGAAGAACAAAGCAGCACAGTGTTGCACAATTTATTTTCCATGAAGTCTATAACCCAATACAAAAGCAGGACAAACAGCGCTAAAGATCGAATCGCGTCACACGCCACAACAGGACACAGCAGTAACACTTAAACTAATCGATCAACGACAAACCTCATCCACCTCATCCCGTCCCGACACAAGGCAAACAAGCATCAACCAATCAGGCAGCACCACGTCTCTACATCACTGAACGATCTATATAACGAAAGAGGGACACCCGTAAGCGATCACTCAATTACTGCATCGAGAATGTCACCTCGATTGATGATGAAGCGTTTTGCAACACAACTTTCATGCTCGGTGAACAACTGAACATCAAGTTATACTACCCGAGCTACAAAAACAACGACCAAACACCGTTGTTTACAAAACTGCCATCATGTTGATGAGTGGCTTCGTTTGCCGTCAAGCTGCAACTCGCAAGCAGCTAGATTTTTTACACGAGTGCTTGCGAAACAATGCCATTCCAGCTAGTGTTAGTCATTGAGCATCAGTCAACCACCCAGAAGCCTGGAAAATAGTGATACAATATAAGAAAAGCATGTTTACAATGGTGATAACGGATGCTCATCGACGTCCGCATAAGTATGACAATATCTTGAGGGAAGGGATAATTACGTGCGAGAATATACTAGACAACGATACCCTGGAAAGTAATTACACCATATGAATCGTCCGCTCATTTATAGTATTCTGATTGAAGGGAAAGATGGAGCAGAGGTGGGAAGCGTGAATCATGTTTTTTATTGCATGAATGAACTCAGAAAATCAAACAAATGACAGACTTGTAGGTGCACCTATTCTCACTCAGCGAATTCCGGTGGGAATAGTAATCAACTGGACTCAAACCTCATTGATTCCGGCTGATCAACCAACGAACGCTGACTCTAAATGAAACCGGTATGAGTAGAAGGACGATAGAGCGACAAACATACATTAAAACGTTTGCATCTTGGCCATCGGATATCCAAAGAAGAGAGGTGTAATGATCACACTTAAGGAAGATCTCATTTGAGCATATTGTCTGGTGGATTTTACCGTGTGCAGGACATCGGGAGGGGGAGGGAAGTAATCCAGCTTTCCCTTTGTTTATCAGATAATCGGCAGCACAGTGCACAAGGGCCGTGATTACGTCGTTCTTTCAGCAAACCCTGGCATAAACAACAGCTACCAATGATATCAGGAGAATGTCAGAAAGTGCGTACAATGTGGGTCGATCCACGAGCAGCATGATTTATCATATTCACTCATTTCAGTCAGTGGCCCACTTGGGGATCGATCTTTAAACAATAAATGATTACAGATCCATCCCAACCGGAATGGCTAACATGACCTGTATGACCAAATGTCCAATTACCGATGGTTTTCTGTTGCATCATGTCAGGTCACAGGCTGAGCACCTGCCATGGAACACACAGTGTAATGAGCTTAGATGCACAGCATCGATATGCTGTAAAATAAAAATGTTATTTCTCAACAGGATTCAAACCCAACTCCCAGGTGCTATTGAAACAAAATAACGAGCACAGATCAAGCGATCAAGCTCATTCTCAGTCATTCGTAGTCATGCCAATACATCACGTTAAATAACTATCACGATGTTTATATATGTATCAGTATCCAACTATAAAAAGCAAACAATTGTTTTGGGAGAGGGAAAATTGATACCATAGGATATTTGAGGCTGATTTCGTCTTCGGACGGGATATGAGATTCTCAATGATCACATAATTTCTAGGTGATCCGATCGTTTGGACTACTCGGAATATAGGGTGTGTGGGGAGTGGGACCAATAAGCATGCGCTTTTGTGCTTTGGTTTTGGGTGCTGCCTCTTGGTAGTTCATTGGGAAGAAGGAGTGAAGGGGAAGTTAGAATATTCAAAATAGCGTCAGGGTGAAAATAGAGCAATCATAACGAGTAGGATTGCAAGGACAGTAAGCAAATTCACGAGCACCACACAGCCATATCACTCTGTGTATCAAAACATCGATTACACCACTTGAGATCCCCATCCAAGAAATCTAACGGAACTAATGTGAGAAAACCACCTGTTCGGTGATATGCGAAACACGCCCCAAGCAACATGATTCATATGGGTCGAACATAGTTTCC